AAAAGGAAAGTCAGAATTTTGGAAAACATCCATCTCCATGAACTTGTCCATTTTCCAATATTTAAAGTATCTTAAGGTATTTTAGATATTTTAAGTGCTTTTCTGATGAGACTGGTGGTAATAGTAGCACATGTCATTTTAAAAAACAATTATTTAATTTTATTTATCATTATTTTTAAATTTGCTACAGGGCACATGTGAAAGAGAGAGAGAGAGAGAGCAAGCAAGTCCCCAGGTCTGGAACTTGAACCGCAGTCGGCCATGTGAGAGTGCAGTGCCCCACCATACACCATCGGCTGACCCGTGACCCCAGCACATGTTATTTAAGAATTGATGGGAACCAGCAGTTAGTGTAATGGCTATGTTGCTGGACTCCCACGTAGTCGACCGCGGTTCGCGTCCCGGACCCAGTGGCTTAAAACTCACGCCGGGCGCGTGTGTGTGCGTGCCCAAGATCCCGAGAGGAGAATGGAGAAGGGACTGTGGCGTGACCATCCCCCCTGGGGGGTGATTTCTCGCTTTCTGTCTCTATGTCTCTCTCTGTCTGTCTGGCGAGCGCACGCACCCTATAGCGAAAACCTTCCCCCTGCCCCCCCAAAAAAAAGTGAAAAAAAAAAAAGAATTGAGATATAGGGGGATCAGCAGTTAGCATAATGGCTATGTCGCTGAACTCCCATGTAGCCAACCGTGGTTCAAGTCCCAGACCCAGTGGCTTAAACTCACGCCGGGCGTGTGTGCGTGCATGCCCAAGATCCTGAGAGGAGAATGGAGGAGAAGGGATTGTGGTATGGCCATCCCCCCTGGAGGGTGGTTTCTCACTTTCTGTCTCTTTGTCTCTCTCTCGCGAGTGCACACACTCTGTAGCAAAAACCTCTCAAAAAAAAAAAAAAAAAAGAGATACAAGACTAGTCTTATAGCCTAGTGGTTTAGGGAGTTGGATCCCACAGAGCCAACCATGTGGTTTGAATCTTGGCTCTGGCAACTGAAAAACACACCAGGTGTGTGTACGCGTGTGCCCAAAATCTTGACATGGAGGAGAAATGGAGGAGAAGGGGTGGTGGAGTGATGATACCCCACTGGCGGGGGTGGGGGGGTTACGTTCTCCCTCTCCCTCTCTGTCTCTTCCTGGTGAGCATGTGCCCCCTTCGGCAATTAAAAATGAAAACAACTAAAATAAATTAGGTATACGTCATGTCATAAAAGTCACCCTTTTCAAGTATAGAATTGTGTGGTTTTTATATCTTCACGAAGTTGTGCACCATCACCATGATCTGCTTCCGGAGTAAGCGTCTCCCCCCAGAGAAAGACCACACATCCATTAGCAGTCACTGTCCGGCCTCCGGCAGTTGTTAATCTACTTTCTGCCTCTGTGGATTTATCTGCTCTGGACATTTTATATAAACGAATCACCGTGATTTTCTACAAGTACGGTAACCGTGTGATTTTAAAAATATTGCATGAAATATGAAAACATTTAGAAGATTTACAAAGCTTGGTGGCCCACTGTTTTGTAAATTACTAAAGCATTATGTTCCACAACGACAAGTAGGTAAAAGACCCAGTTACAGTGTAAGCTAGATCAATGATTTTAATGTAGCATTGTATGAAAAATTCATACAATTTCAGATTCCATGCTGCAACTAGCCTTTAAAAATACCACTTCAGGACCAGCAGATGGTGTAATGGCTATGTCGCTGGACTCCCATGTAGTCGACTATGGTTCGAGTCCCAGACCTAGTGGGTTAAACTCACACCGGGCGCGTGTGCGTGTGTACCCAGGATCCTGAGAGGAGAGTGGAGGAGAAGGAATTACAGTGTAGCCATCCCTCTTGGGGGATTATTTTTAGCTTTCTGTCTCTCTCATTGTTTCTGGCAAGCGCACATGCCCTATAGCAAAAACCTCTCTCTCTAAAAAAAAAAAGAAAGAAAAAAGAAATATCATTTGTTGAGGTAGCAGAACTATATTTATTTTTTTGTTTGCAAAAGCAACTGTGAGCATCTAGCTAGCTATTTTCTTTTTCTATTTATATATTTTTTATTATTCACACATTAAATCGCTATACATCACTTAGATTGTGAAGAGACTTTACCCAGCATGATAGACACCCCAGTCCAGCCCAGTTGAGACCACCATACACATCCTTGTCAACAGATGATAAACCTTGTCTGTGTCTCACAGGTGTCTTAAGCCAGCCCTGTGAGAGTCTGGCACCTTAACCACCATGCCTGCCAGCCCCTGAAGTTCTCGTCAATCTTTTATATTATCGATGAGTTCCATTTAGTCAGGTTACAAGTCAAACTTCCCTTAGCTTTGCTGGTGCATCTCCACCTTGGTGCGAGTTGACTTATGTTACGTGAGAGCAAGGACTTGGCATCAGCCTGCCCTGCTCCTAGGGAGTCAGTTTGCCTTGGTTGATTGGAAAAGGACTGGGTAAGTGGAAAGACTTAACAAAATAGAAATACACTCCGTGAGTGTTTCATAGTGACTGACCAGCACACACTACAGCAAGGCTCAGGATGAGAAAGTCAGGACGAGTGTTTGAAGTTGACGGGAGGGTTTTGCTCTTAGGTGTATAAAATGGGACTCCGATTTTCATATGCGCAGAAATCAACTGCTAAACTCATCTTAAAGGCTGATTTCATGCTCTTGTCCCCCAAGAGTCCAATGATCTAGGTTTGAAGTAGGCCCAGGAATCTGTACTCAAAATAAATTTGGATCCAATTTTTAAGTCGAAGTATTATGTAGTAAGGAAAAAGTCAGTCCCAAGATTTCTTCCTCAGAGTAAATCACTGTTAATGCTTTCTTGTATGTCCACCTAGAAATGTTCTAGTATATTGGAAACCAGCAGTTAGCATAATGGCTATGTCGTGGGACTCCCATGTAGTCGACTGCGGTTCGTGTCCCGGACCCGGTGGCTTAAAACTCACGCCGGGCGCGTGTGCGTGCGTGCCCAAGATCCCAAGAGGAGAATGGAGGAGAAGGGATTGCGGTGTGACCATCCCCTCTGGGGAGGGGGGTGATTTCTCACTTTCTGTCTCTATGTCTCTCTCTGTCTGTTTGGCGAGTGCACACGCCCTATAGTGAAAACCTCTCCAAAAAAAAAAAAAAAAGAAAAAAGAAATGTTCTAGTATATTTATTAGCCTACAGATGTGTGAATGACTTTCTTGTTAACAACAACATAACTGAGAATGTATTAAACATAGTGCTCTCTCTCGCTTCTTCTCTTTTAGCAATGTATCTTGGAGACTGTTTCCTAATTCTGTATATACATACGTCTTTAAAAAGATAATTGCATAAATTCTGCAATGTGGTTATATCATGCTTTTTAAAAAAAGTATGATTAATTTAATTAATTACTATTATTTTAAAATTTGCTATAGGGCACGTGCATTCACCAGAGAGAGAGAGAGACAGAGGGATAAAAAGAGCAAGCCAACAGGTCTAGGACTTGAACTGTGGTTAGCCATGTGGGAGTCCAGCACCTTAACCACCATGCATCTGTCCCCTCCTCCCTTTTTTAGTTATTTTTTTGCCATAGGGTGTATGTGCTCACCAGAGAGAGAGAGAGAGAGAGACAGAGAGAAATCATCCCTTAAGGGGATGGCCATGCTGCAGTTCCTTTTCTCCATCCTCCTCTTGGGATTTTGGCATGCACACACATGAGCCTGGTGTGTTTTTTAGGCTGCCTGGTCTGGGACTTGAACTGCAGAGTTGGCCATATGGGATCAAGCACCTTAATCACCACACTACCTGCTGGCCCTGCACTAAATACTTTTTTTAAAAAAGGTATTTATTCCATAAAGTAAGAGAGACAAAAAGTCCAACCAGGTTTGGATTCTACGATCCACCCCCAGCTTCAGCCATGGGCAGGTGTGCCATACTCAGAGAGGTCTCTGGATGCAAGTCTAAAACCTCCCCTGTGGGCCAGCTTCACACAGCACTGTGCTTCACCCTATGCCACTAAATGGCCCCTACACTCAGTACTTTTCTTTCTTTTTTTGGGGGGGGGAGGATTTTTCGCTATAGGGCGCGTGCGCTCACCAGACAGACAGAGAGAGACAGGGAGACAGAAAGCGAGAAATCACCCCCCAGGGGGGATGGCCATGCCGCAGTCCCTTCTCCTCCATTCTCCTCTCAGAATCTTGGGCACACACGCACATGCACCCGACGTGAGTTTTAAGCCACCAGGTCCGGGATGTGAACCGCGGTCGACTACGTGGGAGTCCAGCAACATAGCCATTACACTAACTGCTGGTCCCCTCTTTTTCTTTTTTTTTTTTTTTTAATGTGTGAGAGGGACCTTATGCTCACCAGAAACAGAAGGAGGGAGAACTCTCTATGGGGAAAAAACGCACGGCAGTCCTTTCTCTTCCACCTCTCCCTCCTTTGGGTAAGCATGCACATGTACCTGGTGAGTTTCCCAAGCCACTGGGTCTAGGACTGGAAGAGTGCAGGTGTGGAATCCAGCTCCCTTAACCACTAGCCACAGCTGGGCCTGCGCTCAGCACTTCCAGCCATCACCCTCGATTCTCTTCAGGTGGTCTGTGACCACACCAGGAGCAACGCTGGTCCAGGGGAAAGAACGAGAAAGAAAATCAGTCATCACTTCTGTTTTAGGAGTGTCTCCTTTAAAGTCCAAAGAAAAATCAAGATTCGTATAGAAACTCACTGATGGGGCTGGAAGGTGGCATTGTGGTTAAGGTGCTGGACTCCCACATAGTTGACAGATTTGAGTCTTGGGACTGATGGTTCACTTTCTCACTTTCTCTCTTTCTCTCTGTCTGTCTCTCTCTGGTGAGTACATGTGCCCTATAGCAAATTAAAATAATAAGAAGACTCATAATAATAAAGAAAATTTTTAAAAGATTAAGTATAAGAAAGACACCGATCATCTTTAAAGAGGACAAAATTTATTTAGGTATATACGTAAATAAAAATCACCTGGATAGAGGAAGGGGAAACTAGAAAGCACATGACAGAAATATACATTTACCCCTTTAGAATATCTTCAAAGAACTGTGAGCAATGACACAAACAGGAAGCTGTATTTGCTGTAATTCATTATCGCAGTTTGTCATCGTGATGTCAACATGAAGATCGCAAGCATAGTTTTACTTGTGTGAAATGAGGACGCCAACATTTGGTAGAAGTTACCGCTTCCGTAAAGCGAGGAAGTCAACAGACAACTGTACAAACGGCAGGTGAGGGTCTCACTTGGATGCGACGTCAGGGCACTGGATACACCGTTCCTATTTATGATGTAGAACCAGCCATGCAGGCACCCAAACGCACTGGCTGTAGCACCTTTTGGGATATTGAACAATGCTTCCTGTTCATTGGTGTTGTTGGAAATGAAGTACCAAAGTCACGTCGTCAGTTTTAAAACACGTAACATATTTTTCAATCCAATCATACTAATTTGCTGGGAAATAGCAAATAGATATAGTATTGCCACAGCTTTTTAAGATGGCATTAGAAACTTGAAAGATGATCAGACTAGAGCTGGATCCTCTACAGCAGCCAAAGCTATCATCGTGCGAAGAGCATCATGTTGAACCAAGTGGAGAATGGCATGCAGTGAATTAACTATGACCACTTACAGGCAATTCTTGAATCTCGGAGGTAACATCGTGTGTATAGATTACCTGTAGCTTTGTTTCTCCTTTCCAGCCTCTGCCTTTTAATATTTTGGTGGTCCTTTCATTCTACAACCCCTCCCATGAGATAGTAGAGCAGGAAATAATGGAGATGTAACCAAAAGGAACCTTGTCCACGTCATCACTTGTTAGCAGCTCGGAAGGGCTTGGAGGAGCGTAAGTCAAACTGCCGGCTAAAATTAGGCTTTAGTGTAACCTTCTGTGAGTCCAACTCCTAGTAGCATGACTGCCTTAATTACCAAGGATAACTGAGTGGACTGTATTCCTTTCAGATTGATTTGACCTGAGACATTGGCAATCACATTGAGGGTGTGTGTGTGTGTGATGAACAAACTGTGAGTAGAAATTTAACTAGTTTTCAACTATGTGTGAACAAGTAAGGCAGCCAGAAATTTCAGAATGTTTCTGGGAAGAACATTCTGCAATCTGAAACATGTTTGGCTTAGAAAAATAGACATCTCACATAAAGGAAGGGCATTATTTGATGTCATGGATCCCAGTTAACTTCTACATGAAGTCAATCTAGAGAACGATTTTTAAGACTCTGTCAAGCTCAGGCAGATGAATGTGAATGTAACGAGGGACACTGGAGACGGGCTCTTGGTCACCACTATCCTAGTGTCAGGTGCACGGACATCCGGACCAAGGGCACTCCATTTACTGCCCTCATGAGCTATATTTTGGATTAACAACATTCTTTACAAATGATGTAACCACCAACTTTATATGTCAAGCAGCAATTAGTTCTTTATTACATTTATCGAGCAGGAGAAACTCCGAAAAAAAGTGTTAGAGGCCCCAGATCATGCCCATAATCTACAACAGAGGCCAATGATAGGACTAAAAGTGCATGAATCATAGCCCTTGAGTCAACGGTTGTGTGTACAAGTACAGCTTCTGCTAATGAAACCATTAGTATGGTTTGTTAAAGTTTTGTCTCAAGATTCAGTTAATAACTGGATACTTGAATTAGGACTAATAGCACATGCCTTCTCTTGGAGGAAGATTTATAAACTGCTTTCCCTAGTTGCAGAATTCCTTACTAAAATTATAAACAGGATTTCTTTAACTGTACTAATTTGTATTACCTTTGAAATTAGAGCCTGCCTTTGTTTTATACTGGTAGACCAGTAGCTCCCTGTAATAACTAATTTCTAGAATATAGTTCCTATTATTGTGCTTGGAATTCACTTATCTGGAAGCTTCTTGGAAGCATACAGATGGTAAGGTTTTATCTTAGAAAGTATTGAGTCACCGGAAAAGTTGTGATGTATTTTTTTGTATAGAAAAACATTGAAAAATACATCATGATGTTTCCAACGACCTAACAATTGAGTTGAAAAGCTTGTATTCCCCGTCTTTGTTTTAAAAGCTGTATCTAAAACCTTTGCCCCAGTGGATGATGAGAGAGAATCGATTTTACAAGGGCATGTCTATCAATCATTTAATAGGCTGTCTTTGAAGAACAATGTCTCTAAACTGTACGTAGTCCTTGATACCTCTGGCATGGCTGGTCCCCAAACAGAGGCAGTGCTGCTTACAAAGGAAGCCATGACGGTGGCCTTTCCAAATGACAGTGCCAGTCACCATACAGCGTTCTTTCCCACATTATGTCACGGGCTCCTCACAGCAACCACGTGAGGTAGGCATGAGTACCACAATGAAATCTGACGCGAAGCGTTCTGTGACACTAAACGTGGGCACCGCCCATATACTTTCTTCTAGATTGTTCTATAATTCGAATACACGGTTGAATGAGTAAAAAGAGTATTCCTACCATATAAAGCAAACCAGATATATAGAAGGAAAAGTCGTATTTTTGTGTGATGTCGTAGATCCACCCTACAAAACACAAAAGGATATAGTCAGTGTAAGGTAGTTGATGAAAGTCATGAACACAAAGCAGACATTTTTAGCTACCGTACATATTTCTATAAGGTTATTTATATCTTATTTAATGCCAAGAACATCTGACTTAGCCATTTTGAAGTGCATGCTGTCCAAGCCAAGCCAGTGTCCCCAGTGGCTGGCAAAGGCTGCATTCAATTTTTAAGCCACCCAAGTACTTTTGAAGGCACTTGAAACAGTACCCTGCTGACCCAGGGAGAGAACTTTCTGGCTCCCTGCCCACAGCTTAACTCACAGGCTGGCACCAAGCCAGCAGTGAGAAGTGGATCTAGTGATTTTCTTTTTCCACAAGTACAAACTCTAATCTTCTCAAAACTCTTCTGAGGACGTTTCTAGTGCGTATCCAAAGACGTGAAGACATTTGAACTTTAATTCATTGTGAGGTATCTGAGAGTAAACTTCTGCCGTAGAATCAAAATTTCTAGGCTTCATACAATTCACATTTACAGCTATAAAACTTAATATTGCTAAAACTCTAAATTGCCAAAGATACAGCCTTAGATGCCGACTAAATTATCAGATCTTTTCAAATAATCACTAGGTATTATAATCTAACATTTTTGTAGAATAATCTCAGTAGGTACTCTGTAAAATACCACCATATTCGACGGATTCTAACACACCACCACACCACCACCTTATCAGTAAGAAAAACTATTCTTGTCAATTTAAATATGACTCAATGTTTCTTTAGGACTTTATGAAATGCATCCTACTTTCAGAGATGTTAAAGTGTGAAAAAAAATGATCAGAAACGATGAATCATGATAATTCTTTTACTTCAGTGATTAATTCTAAGAATCAGTCACATGTCACAGCTCCCACATAGCCAACTGTGTGAAATGAGACAAACAAGTTACAAATAAGAATTTTATTAATGGTAAAAATGTAAATCTGGGGGCCGGAGAGTGCCATGGTGGTTAAGGGCACTGGACTCCCACATGGCCGACTGAGGTTCGGGTCCCGAACCTGGCAGCTTGCTTTCTCACTTTCTCTCTCTCTCTCTCTGTGTCCCTCTCTGGTCAAATTAAAATAAATAAAGTTTAAAAACTAATTCTCTAAAAAAAAATATGTAAATTTGAACATTTACTTTTTCCATTTCAGTAAGTACATTAATTAGCAAAACTTAAAGAAAATATAAATGATTTAATGACTAACTAGTATTTGGTGGCTACTTTTCAAAAATATCTACTTTGGCAGGCCATTCAGTGACATGGTCGTTAAGGTGGCTGGGTCCCACATGGCTGGCTACATCGTTATAGTCCTGGACCTGGTGACTTGAGAAACATGCCAAGCATATGTGTATGCACGTCCAAAATTCCAAAACAAGAATGGAGAAGAGACTGGATTGGCCATCACCCCAGGAGGTGCTTTCTAACTTTCTCTCTTGAAAAAGACAATAATAAAAAATTAAACTTATACAGCAGACCAGCCAGGTAGCATAGTGATTAAGGCATCTGGATCCCACATGGCCAGCTGAGTGGTTCAGGTCCCAGACTCAGTAGCTTGTAAGACAAGCCAGGCATCTGTGTGTGCATGTCCATTTCCGGAGGGGAGAATGGAGGAGAAAGATTGCAGTGAAGCCATCCGTCCCTTGCCAGGGGGCTGCTTTCTCACTTTCTTTCTGTCTCTCTCTGTCTTCCTCAGCAAGTGCATTCAAATTATAGAAAATTTAAAAAAGAAAAAAACTTATACAGCTATAATCAAGGCAAGTGTGATTAAAAAAGAAATCGAAATGGCAAATGAATGTATAAATGCAATTTAGGTTGCTCCCAGCAACAGACAGCAACATGACAGGCAATTATGAAAGGTGTAAAGCCGTCCCTCTGACTTTCTGGTAGTTGTCTGTATCTTTTGGTTTATTGTTTCTAGTGCACAATTAATGTGCCTGGATTAGCTACCTACAGGAATCAGTCAAGGCAATCATAAAGAAAAACAAATACTTGGCAGCATAAAAAGTTATAATAATTATTTAATAAGTTAAAAGCTATAAATTCTAGATATACTTTAAAAGTTAACCAAGTTCTTGACTCTTTTATTTGATATAAAAAAAGAAATAGAAAAAAGAACCAGATTCTTGGGAACCAGCAGTTAGCGTAATGGCTATGTCGCTGGACTCCTACGTAGTCGACCGCGGTTCGTGTCCCGGACCCGGTGGCTTAAAACTCACGCCGGGCGCGTGTGCGTGCGTGCCCAAGATCCCGAGAGGAGAATGGAGGAGAAGGGATTGCGGCGTGACCATCCCCCCTGGGGGGTGATTTCTCGCTTTCTGTCTCTATGTCTCTGTCTATCTGGTGAGTGCACGCGCCCTATAGCAAAAACCTCTCCAAAAAAATTAAATAAATAAATAAAAAAGAACCAGATTCTTTAGAAGTGGCTAAGAGTCTCTATCATCTTTATCTGCAATTCGAGACTGGAGGGACCAAAAAGAATGAAATATATAATCCAGAAATAACGATTCGGCTTCAGAATTGAATCAGAAAGGCATGTTGGTGCTGACGTAGGGACGAAAATGACCCAGCTCTGCTCAGTGCTACTAGTTGTCAACTGTGGAGCCCGGAGTTGTGACAAATGAATAATGTGATCTGCAGGCCATGCAGAGAGGTCTGTGTCTATCAGCAGTGTACCTGGATAGGACTTTCTGAAACTGACATTTACTTTTTAGTTTTTGCCACAGGATGTGTGCCCTTGCCAGAGAGAGACAGAGAGACAGAAAGAGAGAGAGGGAAGGTGAGAAACCACCCCTCAGGAGGATAGCCATGCAGCAATCCCTTCTCCTCCATTTTCCTTTCAGTATTTTGGGCACACATGCTTTGAGTATCTTCTGGGCTGCCAGGTCTGGGGACTCAAACCACAAACTTGGCCATGTGACATTCAGCTGCTCTAACCACCATGCCAGCTGGACGGCCTGATCATTTTTTTTTAAAATTAATAAATACAAATGAACTTTTCTTTATACTGTTTGTTTATTTTAAAATTTGCTATAGAGCATATGCGCTCACCGGAAAGGAGAGAAAGTGAGAAAGTGAGCCGCCAGGTCTGAGGCTCGAACCATGGTTGGCCACGTGGGAGTCCAGGGCTCTAACCCACCATGCCACTTACTGGCCCTTATAAATGAAATTCTTATATATGACATTCATCCCAAATGAAAGTTGACCTTGCCACTTTACTAATTAAATCCTTATTTGTTTTTTTAATTTTTTAATTTTATAGATTTTTTTTTTGTGGTAGGGTACATGCACTCGCGAGAGAGAGAGAGGAGAGAGAGGGAAAATGAGAAATCATCCCCTGGAGGGAAGGCAACACCACAATCCCTTCTCCTCTATTCTCTTCTTGGGATTTTGGGCACACTTAACCAGACATGTGTTTCAGGCCACTAGGTCTGGGATTTGAACCACAGAGTTGGCCACATGAGATCCAGGGCCTTAACCATCACACCATCTGCTGATCCAAATCTTGCTGTTTATATGATCAAAGTGATTAAGAGTAGGAACGGCTCTAAGTAACGAACACCAACAGCTGAAGGAAATTGAACTATTATCGCTGCCCACCGTGAACCTCAGAAATAGGGCAAAATCCTACCTGACTGGAAAATTAACTTCTTTTTCCTTGACAATTTTTTTTTTTTTTTTTTTTTTTTTTTTTTTTTTTTACAATTTTTTTTTTTTTTTTTTTTTTTTTTTACTTTTTTTGCTTGAAGAGGTTGATTATAAGCTCCAGGACTCTGTGATGTGACTGCCCCTGCCTCCTTCTCTACCCGCTGCCCCGAGTTTATGCACCAGCGCAAGCCATACCGAATTTTCTGGGGTTCCAATGCATTTATGTTGCCTTCTTATCGATACAAGTACTGCCACAATTCCCCTCCTGGTCGGGGTGGACAGTGGTTTGCAATGAATACCATCCTTAGAAGACACTAGAATCCCCTTACCTCTACCTCACCCGTCATCTTTTTCCTGCAGAGTACAGAAAATGCCTGTTAACTATATGCCTGTTTTTTTTTTTTTTTCTTCAGCCTTAAATTGAATTCATTATTTAAGGAGAAATTTTGCATCTTTTTCTTAGACTTTTACAGCATGGGTCTCCCCATGCCTCAAGCTTCGAAAGTAATTTATGTCATTTTTTTTTAAAGCACATCAACGGCCCGCAGGTGGTGCGGGTGGTTACAGAGCTGAACTCTCACATGGCCGACTGCCGACTGCCGTTTGAGTCCCAGATCTGGTGGCTTGCTTTCTCACTTTCCCTCTCCTTTCTCTGTCTCTCTCTGGTAAGCGCATGTACCCTATAGCAAGTTATAAAATTAATAATAATAACATAATACTGGTTATAGATATAATATTACTGGTTCCTTGGCAACCCCAATCCAAACATCCCTGACGCCTCTTTGAAAAATGGAAAGCACACTTATTTCTGAACCATTTTTAAAAACGATAATGTGAACAATACTTTTCATTGCAGCAAACCCAGCTAAGTAATACTTTCTAGCCCACCTTGAATCTCCAGCACGGACTGAATATGGTGAGGTAGTTAGGCCCATGCTAGTCACCCTGACCCTACAGCGTGTAAGTGCCGGGCTTGCATTTATTTATCTGTTTTTTGGAGAGGTTTTTGCCATAGGGTGCGTGCGCTCGCCAGACAGACAGAGAGAGACAGAGAGACAGAAAGTGAGAAATCACTCCCCAGGGGGGATGGTCACACCGCAATCCCTTCTCCTCCATTCTCCTCTCGGGATCTTGGGCACACATGCACACGCACCCAGCATGAGTTTTAAGCCACCGGGTCCAGCACTCGAACCGCGGTTGACCACATGGGAGTCCAGCGACATAGCCATTATGCTAACTGCTGGTCCCTACTGGGCTTGCATTTTATTGCAATTTTGGCTCCTTGGCCTGCAAAGTCAATGAACTAAACATAATGCCAATGAACGCTGCTTACCATTCCTTAGTGCCTGAGTTCAGTGGAAAGAGAAGAAACCATCACAAATGAGGAGAGTTTCCTTTAAATTGCTGGCCATGAGCCAGCAGGTGGCGTGGTGGTTGAGGTGGTGGACTCCCATGTGGTTTACTGTGGTTCAAATCCTGGACCTGAGGGCTTGCTTTCTTTCTCTCTCTCTCTCTCTCTGGTGTGCCCTGCAGCAAATTAAAAATAATAATGATCAACAAAAATAAATAAATAATTATTTTAAAAATAAATAAATGAATTGCTGGCCTAGAAAGGCACATCAGAACACTGATTCTGGAGTCCTCACAGCGGCGTCTCGTACACACTCAGAGAAGGTCCTCAAGCACTAAGACCATTGTGTCTACCACCTCTGGTGGATCACGCTTCCTCCGGGACTCACTTCTAGGGAGGAACCTAGAAGTAGGTAATAACACCCAATGGGCCAGCAGATGGCATGGAAGTGGAGGCACGGGATCCCACATGGCTGACTCTGCAGTTCAAGTCCTGGACCCAGCAACTTGAAAAATACACTGAGTGCAAGTGCGTGTGCGCTCAAAATCCTGAGAGAATAGAGAAGAATGGATTGTGCTGTGGTCATTCCCCCGGGAGGGAGGGTGATTTCTCAATTTCCCTCTCTCCATTCAAGAAAGCCCGCTAACATGCGGAGGAGAAGGACATGGCTTTAGGAGGCGCATAAGGAAACCAGGCTGGCAAACTCGTGCTTTAGTTAACGCTGGACGTTAACTTACAGCTAAATTGTGATGTTGCTATTGAAATCAGATGGGTCAGTATAAAAATGATCCCAGGGTGACTATTAGAAGCAGAAAGTACCCCCTGGATAGAGTAAAGCACCATCCGTGACAGATTCCATTTCCACATACGCTGTATCCGAATGACCTCCCACTGGAGAGTGGAGGAGCCACTGTTAATGCACTCAAACCCTCAATGGGTATTTAAGTTTGAGACCTCTGGTAGGTACCATTTGTCGGTTAATCCAACCTCCAATCTCAATTCTGTTCTCCTTTTCTCCTCTAGTACAGGGCCTAGAAAGCAAAATACTACAGTACAATTCAAACTACCCTTAAGATGTGGACTACATGTGTGACACAGTTTGATGTAAGTGGAATTCTGCTGGGACTGACCCTTTCCTCACTCCCTCCTACCTGCTGTAAATGATAATGCACTGGCTAGAACTACAGCTGCCATTATGTGACCATGAGGCAAGTAGCATGAGGGAAAGGTCAAGAGGATCTCAGATACTCTGTTCCAATTAATTTATATTTCTGGTTATGTGTCATGATTAAATCTGTTTAAACTACTGTTGTCAGTGCATTCCGAATGGATAGAGAATTCTATACAATGAGATCAGTGAGCAATCTGGAACCTTTCAACTGCCTATATAGTTTGCTGCATTGCTGTAGTTATTCACTGTCACCTACAAATGCTGCACCCACATCTTTATGCAGAGAATAGGAGCAGCGCTATCCAGGAGAAGCCCCTACATGTAAGCACAGGCTTTGCCAAAGTGATTCTGGGGAAATCCTTGCTTAGCCAGCTGCCAGTGTTGTCAGCTAGATAGGCAAAATTCATGATTTCTCAACCTTCAAATTCTGAGATTTGTTGGGAAAAAAAAAAGGGTTTGTTGCGCAAGCCCTCTGCCAGTGGGCCCCTAAGAAAGGAGGTGATTAGGATTTATAGGGACTAGGAAGGAAAGGGCAGGGAGGCCTTTGTCCTGCACCCATGGGGTTCCGTCATCCACTGGAAAGAGGTATTCCTGCCAGAAGATACAGGAATAAAGGCCAAGAGGGGTCAGACAGGCAGGGGATGAGCTAAGGGAGGTGACATCTGAATGTCGTCGTGGTGACTGGCCTGCACACCTGTCATGCTAAGTGGGTGTCCTGCCTGCAATTCTTGAACAGAAGGTAGACCTTGTCACTCTTGTCCAGTACCAGGCATTTTGGGGGTTGAGTCCTGACTTGTCTTTCTATAAAGCCTATACCTGACCCACAACAGAGTCAGAGAGCTACTGGCTGGACCCAAGAGTCCTCAGCACTCATGACTTCTGGTATGCCCAGCACGAAGCAGGTTTTCCAGTGAACTGAAGAGACCACATGGGAACGATCTTATCCCAGGTGTTGCTGAGTGGTGCCTAGGCTTGGGGTAGCTGAATGCTCACATCCTAATCCCTGGACCCTGTGAATAGGTGACCTTACAAAAAAGGAACTCTGTAGCTATGACTAAGTTAAGGACCCTGAGATGAGGAGAGTAACCTGGATTAGCCAGGTGGGCCCACTGTAATCACAGTTGTCCCTTATGAGGAGGAGGCTCAGAGAAATAGCAAGAGACTTACTGCTGGCTTAGAAAATAAAGGAAGAGGCCATGAACCGAGGAATGCAGGCAACCCCGCGAACCTGGAACAGGCGAGGAAACAATCCTCCCCAGCTCTGCCAAGATCTTATTTTTTTTTTTTTTTTTTTTTGGAGAGATTTTCACTGTAGGGCGCGTGCGCTCGCCAGACAGACAGAGAGAGAGACATAGAGACAGAAAGCGAGAAATCCCCCCCCAGGGGGGATGGTCACGCCGCAATCCCTTCTCCTCCATTCTCCTCTTGGGATCTTGGGCACACACGCACACGCGCCCGGCGTGAGTTTTAAGTCACCGGGTCCGGGACACGAACCGTGGTTGACTACGTGGGAGTCCAGCGACATAGCCATTACGCTAACTGCTGGTTCCCCTTTTTTTTTTTTTTAATAATTTTTTTTTTTTTTTTTTTGGAGAGATTTTCACTGTAGGGCGCGTGCGCTCGCCAGACAGACAGAGAGAGAGACATAGAGACAGAAAGCGAGAAATCCCCCCCCAGGGGGGATGGTCACGCCGCAATCCCTTCTCCTCCATTCTCCTCTTGGGATCTTGGGCACACACGCACACGCGCCCGGCGTGAGTTTTAAGTCACCGGGTCCGGGACACGAACCGTGGTTGACTACGTGGGAGTCCAGCGACATAGCCATTACGCTAACTGCTGGTTCCCCTTTTTTTTTTTTTTAATAATTTTTTTTTTTTTTTTTTTGGAGAGATTTTCACTGTAGGGCGCGTGCGCTCGCCAGACAGACAGAGAGAGAGACATAGAGACAGAAAGCGAGAAATCCCCCCCCAGGGGGGATGGTCACGCCGCAATCCCTTCTCCTCCATTCTCCTCTTGGGATCTTGGGCACACACGCACACGCGCCCGGCGTGAGTTTTAAGTCACCGGGTCCGGGACACGAACCGTGGTTGACTACGTGGGAGTCCAGCGACATAGCCATTACGCTAACTGCTGGTTCCCCTTTTTTTTTTTTTTAATAATTTTTTTTTTTTTTTTTTTGGAGAGATTTTCACTGTAGGGCGCGTGCGCTCGCCAGACAGACAGAGAGAGAGACATAGAGACAGAAAGCGAGAAATCCCCCCCCAGGGGGGATGGTCACGCCGCAATCCCTTCTCCTCCATTCTCCTCTTGGGATCTTGGGCACACACGCACACGCGCCCGGCGTGAGTTTTAAGTCACCGGGTCCGGGACACGAACCGTGGTTGACTACGTGGGAGTCCAGCGACATAGCCATTACGCTAACTGCTGGTTCCCCTTTTTTTTTTTTTTAATAATTTTTTTTTTTTTTTTTTTGGAGAGATTTTCACTGTAGGGCGCGTGCGCTCGCCAGACAGACAGAGAGAGAGACATAGAGACAGAAAGCGAGAAATCCCCCCCCAGGGGGGATGGTCACGCCGCAATCCCTTCTCCTCCATTCTCCTCTTGGGATTTTGGGCACACATGCACATGCACCCAGTGTGAATTTTAAGCTACCAGGTCTGGGACTTGAACTGTGGTCAGCCATGTGGGAATGCCCAGCGCCTTAACCACCATGCCACCTGCTGGTCCCTCTGCTAAGATCTAGATTCCAGCCCAGTGAGACCCATTTTGGACTTCCATCCTCCAGAACAGTAAGAGAATAAATATTGCTTAAGCCACTAAGTTTACAGCAATTTATTATACTAGTTACAGTAGTAGTAGGATATGAATACAGAGCTAGATTCAGCCTACAGATGTGTCCTATTGGACCTAGACATGGTGTTTTTTTTTTTAAGATTTTTTTAAAAGAGAGGTTTTTGCTATAGGACATGTACACTTGCTGGAGAGACAAACAGAGAGAGAGGAAGCGAGAAAACCCGCCCCCCGGGGGGATGGTCATGCTGCAATCCCTTTTCCTCCATTCTCCTCTTGGGATTTTGGGCACACATGCACATGCACCCAGTGTGAATTTTAAGCTACCAGGTCTGGGACTTGAACTGTGGTCAACTACATGGGAGTCCAGTGACATAACCATTATGCCATCTGCTGATCCCTAGACATGCTGTTTTAAAAATCTGGAAATGCCACCTTAGGTTCTCTTGGTAGAAGAAGAAGAAAAGAAGAAAGAGGAGTGGGGGAGGAGGAAGATCTGGAAATAATTCTTTGTATTTCCTGGTGCCTGACATCAGGTGGAGCCGGGCACAGGTTGCTTTCTTCAAACGGGGAAGGGGCCCTGCAGTATTCCACCATCCCTATCAGCTTCATTTCTTCACTCTGCCAGCCTGGCCACTTCATTGTGCAGACAAGGATCAGAAGTCCGCCTACATTCTACACAAACAAACGTCCCACAACTTGCTAAAATTTAATGAGAAATTAGGGAGTTAGGAAGAAAAAAAAAGTGCACGAATATAAGTGGAAGCCTCCTTCTTACTTACCTGGGGCTTCCTAACACAAATGGGGACACACCCTGTCTCCACACATGCTAAGCTCTTAAAGCCTTGGGAGATTTACCTGCAAAGGGGGGTCCCAGCAGCGCCGAGATGCCATTAGCACAGATGATGATGCCATAGGCGTTGGCCAGGTGTTCAATGCCCACCAAGTCTTCAGTCACCACGGGCATTAGGGAGAAGTAACCGCTGGAGAAGCCAATCAGGGCGCAGATGACCGCCAGGCCAGCGTAGGTGTGCGTCAGGGGCAGGATAAAAATACTGAGAACCAGGGTGAAGTTGGCCATCAGGAAGACGTTCCAAACACTGATGCAGGGCGAGTCGGCCACGATGCCCAGGACCACCTTCCCCAAGATGTGAACTATTGCTATAATTGAAGTCAGAGGGAAAACGTCGTTTTGTTCCGATAAATGGTACAAATTGACTATTTCTGGCAGGTGGATGAAAGGGATGACAAAGCTGCTGTAGGCGAACAGAGCCCAGAAGATGAAGGCTACGAACATCCGGTTGGTGAACAGCGAGGCTGTTCCGAAATAGCCGGAGTACCAGTCCCGGAAGCCCCTCCTGACCCTCACGGTGAGCTGACTCGCGGTTTTCAGAACGCGGAAAGCGCCCAGGTTCTTCCTGTGCCGGGCCTGCTCTGGGTACTCTTGGGCTGGAAGGTCACCCCGGCTCTCCTCGTGCCCGGGCCTGTCATCCTTCTCGTCGGCTCTGGCCCGCTGTCCCTCTGACGTCACGGACTCAGTGGAGTGAGCTGGCAGGACGTTCGGATCTTTCTCCGCTGGGGTGTTTGCGTCTGTGCCAGGCGACAGGGGCCTCATGAGCGCGCCGCAGGCGCACAGGTTCAAGGACACGGCGCCTTGGATCAGCATGGCGTTGCGCCAGCCGTACTCCGCGCACAGGTACTTGAGCAACACCGTCATCAGGAAGGCCCCGAAGCCCGTCCCGGTGGTGCTGAGGCCCTGGGCGAGCGCTCGTCTCTTCTGAAAGTACCTCCCCACCATGACCACCGCGGGCAGGTAGGCCATGCCGCTGCCGAAGCCTGCCGGGTGGAGGGAAAAGGCACACAGCACAGATCAGTGGCAGCCCATCTGCGTTTCCTTAGTTCTACTTACACGTCTTCTCTCTAAGGAAGAGAGTGTAGTGATTATAAAACGGGCCCTGGGGGCCAGCGGTTGGCATAGCGGTTACCACGCTGGACTCCCACGAGGCCAGCTGCAGTTCGAGTCCCAGATCCAGTGGCTGGGAACATGCTGAGCATGTGTGCCCAAGATCTTGGGGGGAGAAGGGGCTGAAGAGAGGATTGTGAATCACCCTGGGGGGGTGATTTCTCACTTTCCCTCTCACTATCTCTGAGTCTCTCTCTTCTGTGAGTGTACGCACTCTAAGGCAAAAACCTTGACATTAAAAAAATAAAAGGAATCGTAATTACGCAGACATATTCGCAGTGTGGCGTTCAGAAAACAAGGCCCGGAAGAATGGCTCTGGCGCTCTGAGCTCTCAGTGCTTTGACCAGAAAGAGACCTAATCTCTCTGGCACCCCTCAGCCCCACTTCCCCATTTCTGTCCCTTTCTCCCACAAAGTGCAGGGAGAGGCTTCCTCCGCATTTCCCTTATTTGCCTTGAGACCCAGGATCCTCCAGGAAAGAATTCAACTGTCTGGGCCAGCTGGCGGTGTGGTGGTTGAGGTGGTTGGATCGTCACATGGTCGACCCTGCAGTTCGAGACCCACACCTGGTGGCTTGAAAAACATGCTAGCTGTGTGTGCGTGTGCATGAGAGAAAAACGGAGAAGGAGTTGCAGTGTGGCCATTCCCTCTAGGGGGGATTTTATGAATTTTCAGGGCCATGTCCCTTTATTTAAGCTGTTTGTTCCCTCTACTGGGATGCTCTTACCCTCAGACAGACCAGGGACGGGTGCCCTCATCTCCTGCCCATCTCACCCTCCCAGTGAAGCCCACTCTGATCACCTTATTTTAAAAGGCAAGTCTCCCCTGCCCACCCCCTCCTTCCCAATCTCCCTCACCCTGTTCTACTTTTCTCTTTAGCTGTGGTAATTAGTCATGGAACTATTATGCAAGCTGGTTATGGTCTCTTGCCGGCTCTCCTTTTGCTAGACTGAGCGCCCCGAGAGCAGGGACCTTTTTCTATGTTGTTCACTGATGTCTTTCCTGACCCGCTAAAACATCGTCTGCTATGTAATAAAGGAATGAATTGAATGGGAGTTCTGTAGTAAGTTCTGAAGGAATGAACTGAATGAAAGTTCTATATTTTGAAATAATAGCAATTTTTCTACATATATGATTAATTTCACATTTCTAAGGTTAAGCTATATAAAAAAAAATTCAACCGTAAAATGGATGCATCTCTTTTCTGAAAAAGCCAATTATGGTTTTTTTTTTTTTTAGAGATTTTTCACTGTAGGGCGCGTGCGCTCGCCAGACAGACAGAGAGAGAGACATAGAGACAGAAAGCGAGAAATCACCCCCCAGGGGGGATGGTCACGCCGCAATCCCTTCTCCTCCATTCTCCTCTCGGGATCTTGGGCGGGCACGCACGCACACGCACCCGGCGTGAGTTTTAAGCCACCGGGTCTGGGACGCGAACCGCAGTCGACTACATGGGCGTCCAGCGACATAGCCATTACGCTAACTGCTGGTTCCCCAAAAGCCAATTATGTTTTAAAGAATAAGAGATGAGATTCAACATTAAATGTTACGGTACAGTACTGCTGCCTTTACAGTAGTATCATGGGTCAGGGACGTGCAATAGAAGGAACCCAGGTGGCCAGCAGGTGGTGTGATGATTAGCCACTGGACTCCCACATGGTCACCACGGCTTGAGTCCCAGACCTGGTGGCTTGAAACACTCCAGGTATGTGTGCATGCGTGCCCAAGATCCCGAGAGCGATGCTCTTCTCTCTCGCCTCTTTCTCTCTCTGTCTTTCTGATGGGTACCACACTTGCTCCATCATGGATAAGGAAAAAAAAGGGGAAAAACCCAGAATGGTTTAATGATCTCTCATGTTCCCTTCACTCAGCTTCAGCGTTATCAACTGTAGGCCCAGTCTTGTCCTCACCCCACACTCCCTCTTCCATGTTATTTTGAAGCAAATCCTGAATATATTATTTCACATGCAAATATTTTAATATAAATATCCAAATATAAGAATATTAAACAGCATAATCATATCATTACCTCATTTGAAAAATATGAACAATTCCTTGATGTCATTAAATATCCAGGAGATACTCAAATTTCCAGATGTCAGGACCAGCAGTTGGTGTAATGGCTATGTCGCTGGATTCCCATGGAGTCGACCATGGTTCGAGTCCTGGACCTAGTGGCTTCAACTCACACAGGGCACAGGTGCATGTGCGTCCAGGCCTAAGATACCAAGAGGAGAATGGAGGAAAAAGGATTGCGATGTGGCCATCCCCCCGGGGGGTAATTTCTCGCTTTCTGTCTCTCTGTCTCTGTCTTTCTGGTGAGCGCACATGCCCTATAGCAAAAAAATCTCTCCAAAAAAAGAATTTCCAAATGTCTCATAAATTATAACTTTTTTTAAAAAAAAAATGTGGTTGTTTAAATCAGGATCCAAATAAGGCCCATACATTATTATTTGTTTGTTTGTTTGTTTTTTTGAGAGGTTTTTTCTAGGGCGCGTGCTCTCGCCAGACAGACAGACAAAGGGACAGAAAGCGAGAAATCACCCCCTAGGGGGGGATGGCCACGCTGCAATCCCTTCTCCTCTCGGGATCTTTGGCACGCACGCAAATGCACCTGGTGTGAGTTTTAAGCCACCGGGTCTGGGACTCGAACCGTGGTCGACTACATGGGAGTTCAGCGACATAGCCATTACACTAACTGCCGGCCCCTACATTATTATTTGTTGATGGATATTTTAAGCCTTTTTTTCAATCTCTCTCTTTTTTTTTTTTCCTTGAAATTTATTTTAGGAGGAAACTGGGTCCCTTGTCCTATGAATTTTCCATACTCTGCACATTGCTGATGGCACAAATTAAGTTCAATTTTTTTAATATGATTTTCTTTTACTGGTAATAACTAATATGCTGAATTGAATATGGTTATGGAATTCTAAAGAGCGACAGTAGGAAATGACTAGAAGAAAAAGAACTGAGGGACAGAGCACAAAAATCTGCTAATTCTAACCTAGGATGAAAGATAAATGGGTCCTGGGGCCAGCAGGTGGCATGGTGGTCAAGGCACTGGACTCCAACACAGCTGACCGTGGTTCGAATCTTGGACCCAGTGGCTTGAAAATCACACTGGGCACGTGTACATGCATGCCCAAAGTCCTGAGAGGGAAATGGAGAAGGGATTATGGTGTGGCCTCAAAGATCCATTAACATGCAGCCATGGCAGGGTCCTGGTCCCACTCATCACCACACCTAGGAGTAGAAGGGGGCCTTCAACCGACAGCTCGAGTGGAGGAAGGAGGTCGGCTGGGGAGAGACGGCCTGGGTTAGCGCAGATGTGGGGAAGGTGCCTTCAGGGGCCAGGTTTAAGGGGGTGGGGTCCTGGTAAATTGAGATCTGCAGAGGCAGCATTGCTTAGCAAGGTTACTTAAACAGACATTCATTTTCTTTCCTTCTTTAAAAGAAGTATTTAATTTAATTATTATTATTATTTAACTTGACCGGAGAAAGGGAAGGAAAATAAGAATGCAAGCTGCCAGGTCCAGGACTCGAACCTTGGTTTGCCATGTAGGAGTCCAGCGCTTTAACCACCACACCACTTGCTGGTCCCAATAGACGTTAATTTTCTGCTTATGGGAGGACATTCCCATGCAATTTTAAAATGCCTAAGTGTTAAGATATGAACAAATCTCTCTCCAATGCTTCTTTGAAATGAAAAGGGTATTCATTATAGGCCATGCACGGGGCCAGGCTTGTGACATAGGTGATCTCGTTAAACTGTCCCAGCCAGCTACACCGGCCACTCTTCATTGTCCCCGTTTTGCAGATGAGGATACCAGAGACACAGGTAGGTTAAGCCACACAGATACCAAGTGGTTCAATAAAAAGCCAGAATTCCAAGCAAACTTTGAACTCTTAGGCTAACACATTCATCAGGAGAGCAGTAGCTCGATATTCACAAAGAGAGTCAAGGGACCAGCAGACGGTGTAATGGTTACGTTACTGGACTCCCCAGTAGTAGACTGTGGTTCAAGTTCTGGACCTCTGGACCAGGACGCGTGTGCATGCATGCCCAAAATCCCAAGAGGAAAACGGAGGAGAAGGGATTGCGATGTGACCGTCCCCCAAGGGGGTGATTTCTTGCTCTCTGTCTCTCTGGCAAGTGCATGTGCCCTATAGCAAGAATCTCTCAAAAAAAGGAAAAAGAAAAAGGGAAGTCAAGTGGATTAGGTTAATTAAAATATACAACTGCACAAGTGACTTCTTATCTGTGTGAATCCCACTACCTGTGGGTAAAGGAAATTACGGCTGGGGACGGACTTGACAGAACGGACATGCGAGCCGTGCCGCCTGGCAGCCAGCTTTCACGGCACCGCTGGGAACCACTCCTAACTGCCCCAGGGTGTTCAGATCCGTTCGCACGGGGTTACGCTTATTTCAGTCTGAACAGGGCTGAAGGATAAAGGATCAGCCTGTGACGTGTGCTTGATTCTGCAGTTATGAAGGAGGATGTCATTAACTGCCTTAACATTGGGTCTATTCACCCACATCCCTATTGTCTCCCTCCTTTTCCTGTCCTCAGAGGACAGAGGGCTCGCGTGGCGGGCCAGGCATGGACACTTAATTTGACTCTGTTAGGGAGGCCACGTCCAGGTGTTGGGTCGGTCCCCCCTGAAAGCATATTTACTACCTTGTATGTCCTGGAGTGTGGGGAGGGTTGAGGAAACAGAAAGTTTTAATGGGTCTCTTTTCTCCAGTTAAATTCATGGCCAAAATGTCCACTGAAACATTTAAAAAATACCCCCACGCTTACCGGCGGCCACTCCGAATGTGACGAAGAGGTAGTGCACGTTGGTGGCATAGGCACTGAGCACCCAGCCCAGGGAGTTGACGAGCCCTCCGACGATGGCGGTCCGGCGGCACCCACAGGTGTTGATGATATTGTCTCCCTCCTTTTCCTGTCCTCAGAGGACAGAGGGCTCGCGTGGCGGGCCAGGCATGGACACTTAATTTGACTCTGTTAGGGAGGCCACGTCCAGGTGTTGGGTCGGTCCCCCCTGAAAGCATATTTACTACCTTGTATGTCCTGGAGTGTGGGGAGGGTTGAGGAAACAGAAAGTTTTAATGGGTCTCTTTTCTCCAGTTAAATTCATGGCCAAAATGTCCACTGAAACATTTAAAAAATACCCCCACGCTTACCGGCGGCCACTCCGAATGTGACGAAGAGGTAGTGCACGTTGGTGGCATAGGCACTGAGCACCCAGCCCAGGGAGTTGACGAGCCCTCCGACGATGGCGGTCCGGCGGCACCCACAGGTGTTGAAAAAAAAGCCGATGAAAGGTCCTGTCACAGAGCATCGGAAACAGAGCTGACTGGCGGGGCCCTCAGTGCGGACAAAGACTGGGATGTCACTGGAGCTGTGAACTAAGGCGAGCGGAAGCGCCCCCGTTGCTGTATATGTGTAACACTTCGAGGTGGTTTTGAACAATGTCACAGAGCGCACCGTCTAGGTTTTAAAAGAAAGCCAACCTGGCCAACCTGGCCAGCCTCGGGGCGCAGGCAGTAGATGCTTCTCTGCAGGGCTTGAATCACACAGAAGACGGTGGTTCGGATCCTGGGAGGTAGACCCGAAACACCGGGTGTGTGTGCTCACACGTTCCCTTGGTCATGGCTGGCTGGAAGGCGGGGAGTGGGGCAGGATTATGGTGTGATGAGACGCTGTCAGGGGGCTTGTCTCTTTCTCTCTCAGAGAAAGATGTTAAAAACCAAAACAAAGGGAAATCTGAAATAAATAGACATTCTTTTTTTTTTTTATCTACCACAGAGGTCTTAAACTAGTCATCCAGGGGCTGTATCAAGCCTAAGGACACATTCTGTTTATCTGGAACAAAATTTTTAAATGTCTGGAATCTGGAGCCAGTGGCTAAGGTGCTGGACTCCTACACGGCTCACCATAGTTAGAGTCCTGGATCTGGTTGCTTGAAACTCACACCGGGGACATTTGTGTGCGTGCCCAAAATTCCAACAGGAGAATGGAGGAGGAGGGATTGCAGCATGGACATCCCCCCTGGGAGGTGATTTCTCACTTTCTGTCTCTCTATATCTTCTGTCACTCTGTATCTCTCTGGTTCTCTGGTAAGCACATGACCCTATTGCAAAAATCTCTCTCTCTAAAAGGAAAAAAAAAAAAAAGAAGTCTAGAATCTACTGCTAACCCTTAAACATGAAGAAAATTTGCCAAAGTCTAGCACAGCGCAGGCTATCTCCCCACACATCCCAGATCAACCGTAGCTGTGTGGTGGCCGGCTCTAGTTGGCTAGGTCACACCCTCTTGATTTTGCCAACCCTGCCTTCTGTTCTTTATTCTTTTTTAGAGAATTTTTATTTAACTTTATTTATTTATTTATTTATTTTTATTTGACCAGAGAGCGACAGAGTGAGAAAGAGAGCAAGGGAAAGTGAGAAAGCAAGCCCCCAGGGCCAGGGCTCGAACCACAGTAGGCCATGTGGGAGTCCAGCACCCTTAACCACACCACTGCTAACTCCTTCCCTCTGGTCTCACACCTGACCTCTGGTATACATTACATTACATTTTTTTTTTTTAAATTTCCTGGAGGTTGGAGAGAGACAGAGAGAGAAGTGAGAAAACACTCTTCCCCCACAAGGGCGACGGCCACACTGCAATCCCTTCTCCTTCATTCTCCTTTCAGAATTTTGGGCACACACACACACACACACACACACACACACACACTTGCCTGGTATGATTTTAAAGCTGACAGATCTGGACGCGAACTGTGGTCAGCCACCTGCTGGCCCCCATAATCTTATTTTTGATCATTATTACATTATATAGTTATGAAACCATATATTCAAGTGGAACTATTCCAAGGTAAAAAGAAAACAACAACACTTCTTCAACTCTAAAGGGGTTCTCTTCCTAGCCCAGACAGAAATAAAATTTTCTTTTAAAGTTCTAGCTATATTCATGTGCATATTTAGCATATTTAGGTACAAAGCCTGCTAATGAGTTTATTTTATCTAGTGATTTTGAGAGTAATCCTAAAACTTATGTCTGTGAAGACTTATTGGGGCCGGCAGGTGGTGTGGTGGTTAGGGGTGCTGGACTCCCACATGGCCGACCGTGGTTTGAGTCCTGGACCTGGCAGCTTCCTTTCTCTCTCTCCCTCTCTCTCCGTGTCTCACTCTATACCTCTCTGGTCAAATTAAAAATAAGTAAGTAAATAACGTTAAATAAAACAGTTGTTAAAAAAAAAAAAACTTATGGAGGGCACTTATCTCTCTCTCTTTCTCCCCCTCACTTGCATACGCTCTACCATGAATGAAGAAAAACAATTTTTTAAAGGGCAAAAAATTAGGAAAATGTTTTGTCATTGTTGTTTTGTTAAAGGAAAAGGAATTGTTGGTCTCTCAAAGTTCTCGTCAGACCCTGAGGCATGCAATGAGACCTGCCTGTGGCATGGCCAGATGCAATGGCAACATGTCCAGTGACCCTAAAAACTCATCTTTTATACTAGTAAAGGGATATATGTAAGTTATTCTGAGAGTTTCTATTGGACGAAGATGTCGGGGAATGGACAGGACTGCACAAAGTCTATTAGCAGAAGCTGTCTGGAGCAACTTGCTGGCAGTGACGACTGGAAGAACGTTTTGTCTGGTGCCAGGAAGGAACCCCCCCCCTAAAAGGAAAAAAAAAAAAAAGAAGTCTAGAATCTACTGCTAACCCTTAAACATGAAGAAAATTTGCCAAAGTCTAGCACAGCGCAGGCTATCTCCCCACACATCCCAGATCAACCGTAGCTGTGTGGTGGCCGGCTCTAGTTGGCTAGGTCACACCCTCTTGATTTTGCCAACCCTGCCTTCTGTTCTTTATTCTTTTTTAGAGAATTTTTATTTAACTTTATTTATTTATTTATTTATTTTTATTTGACCAGAGAGCGACAGAGTGAGAAAGAGAGAAAGGGAAAGTGAGAAAGCAAGCCACCAGGTCCAGGGCTCGAACCACAGTAGGCCATGTGGGAGTCCAGCACCCTTAACCACACCACTGCTAACTCCTTCCCTCTGGTCTCACACCTGACCTCTGGTATACATTACATTACATTTTTTTTTTTTAAATTTCCTGGAGGTTGGAGAGAGACAGAGAGAGAAGTGAGAAAACACTCTTCCCCCACAAGGGCGACGGCCACACTGCAATCCCTTCTCCTTCATTCTCCTTTCAGAATTTCATTCATGCATTAGTACTTTCATCTCATCAGACACATAGATTGTAGACTTCCTAGTGGGATGCCAGTTTCTGTTGAGTCTAGCGAAGAGGGAAAGGAGTTGTAATTGGAACCAGGCAAGGAGGTAGGGTCTTGCTTTACAGTGCTGAGTTCCAGGGTTAGGCTCCATGAGATTGCTTCTGGAACTGATACCAAGTAACTCATCTGGGGATCACCAATTTCCCAACCAGATTAGTCATTGTTCATTCTTTCATTCCCACACTCTTCATTCAATAAACATTTATTGAGTGATTTCTATTATTTCTGTACAATCCTGTTAAGGCATAGCCTCTGACTTTAGGAGTTTATGGGAATGAGGAGACAGATGTAAAAATAGGTCAATGCAAAAAAAGTGTTAAAGGAGGGCCGGCAGGTGGTGTGGTGGTTAGGGGGGCTGGACTTCCAGATGGCCGACCGTGGTTTGAATCCCGGACCTGGAGGCTTACTTTCTTGCTTTCTCTCTCTCTCTCTCTCCCTCCCTCTCTGGTCAAATTTAAATAAATAAAGAAATAAAGATAATAAAATAATTTTTAAAAAGACATTAATTTAATTAAGTTTGTTGGATTACAGAAAATAATTCAGCAGCTAAACCTGTTGGAATAATTTAACATATTAAATTATTTTATATCAACATATTATATGCTAGTGGGTTGTCAGAAAACTCATGACACATTTTTGCATAGAAACACACAAAGAAAGGGTCATGACTTTTCCGACAACTCAATATTCATTATAATGTCCAATTATACAAATCATACGCAAGATAAGCACAGTAATATGAATAGCTGAAGAAACTGCTGGGGGTAACTAAGATTTAGATACATAGTTGAAGATATTTCTTTGATTTCTTTACACACATTTTTATTTTTCTGAACTCATGGTCACTCGGCCATGCCAAACTTTAAATGAGTGGGTAAAAAAGAAAAAAAATGCATGACTGGTCAGTTTGTTCCTAATGGGCCTTTGAAAGGTCAACAGCTCCCGGTTCAGTAGGACAATCATATTTTCCACAGCACAGAAAGGGCCCAGAAGCAAGTTTTTCCAAGATACTGCTTTATGAAACAGTGCACTAAGAAGGCATTTGGGCAAAAAAAAAAAGGAAAGAAATTCCCAAATTAGTGCAAATATTCACATCTAGAGGAATTTTATAAATAAAATAAGCATGAACTGTTTTCCTAATTAAAAACATTAAGTTGATAACACCGTCTGGCTCGTTAGTCAACTCTTGCACACTGGAGCTTCACTCATTTCTGGTTTGCAGGTGGCAAAATCAGACTCATAATGCCATGATTTCTCCACAGTTATAAAGCGCAAATGTTTAAAAAATAAAAGGGTTCAAACTCAACCCCTCTGACTATTTCATTTCTAATGATTGGGTCCCAATGGTCAACTGGCATCTCCACGACTGAAGTGCTATTTTGATAAAATAAAAACCCGTTATACGCTCTAAGGAGAGGAGGACGGGTAACACCGAGCTGCAGTTCTCTGACCGTGACTCATGCTTCCACAGGTGATTTCATGTTTCCGACGGTAATATCAAACTTTTCCTCTTCAGAAGAGATCGGAATCTTCCCGAGAGGAGAATGGAGGAGAAGGGATTGTGGCGTGACCATCCCCTCTAGGGGGTGATTTCTCGCTTTCTGTCTCTATGTCTCTCTCTGTCTGTCTGGCGAGTGCACGCACCCTAATAGGCAAATCTAAAAAAAAAAAAAAAAAAAGAGAGATTGGAATCTTGGAATGTTTCCCACAATGCGGTGGCATTGCTGCAGGGAACACTCCCAGAAATCACCCTATCTTGCCTATCCCAGCGTCTAACAGCTTGAGAAAAGGAATGATCTGAGGGGAGCCTTGGCGCTCAGGGCTGGAAGTCGCGGCTCTTTGAACTCCAGGTCTCAGGACAAGCGCTCGCTGCAGTGGAGTGTGGAGCCTCTACATCAATGGCTGTCTGCCTTGGCTGGCCACAGGAGTCACTTAAGAGTTTTAAACAACAAATCCTGGCACCCATGCCAGGAGATGCTGATTTAGAGTCCAGGTGTAGCCTGGGTTTCAGGGTTTTAAAAA